GTTTTTTTTTTTTTTTTCTCATTTCTCTAATTTTTTTCCAATGATTTAATGACAGCATGAAATGTTGATGATTTAGACGGCAGAGGGAACATTGAGAATAAAAGTTAGTTCGAGACCTTAATTTTCTTTAAAAAGAAGGTCATGGGATAAATTAATAATTAGGTACAAGTGCAATGGATAATTTGATGAAATACCCTAATGAATGAAAATTGAGGTTATTAACTAGCAAAATTCTTATTAAAAAAGAAAAAGTTTGACTAGTGATTTGTTCCTTGAACTTGTACCTAAGTTTCGTTTTATCTCCTATCTTTTTTTTTAAAGAAAATTAAGGACAAGAACTAATTTTTTTCACCAATTTGCCCCCGGACGTCAAAATCTGCCACTGCCTATCCATTCTACCTTCAAGTTGGTGTTTTGGTAGAGACGTGAAATGACAAAAGTAACCTCCAACTTGACAGCAGGATGGATGTGAAGTGGCAAATTGGTGAAAAAAATTAATTCGGGTCCTTAATTTTCTTAAAAAAGATATAAGGGGTAAATTGAAATTTAAGTACAAATTTATGGGGCAAATCACCAATTAACCCTAAAAAAAGAGTAACTAGCAACAAAGCATAGTTTTTTTTTTGTTTCTTTTTTGTTTCTTTTTTGGGGTCAAACAGTAACAAAGCATAGTTCAACAACTGAGAATCAAACCAATTCGAAGACAATTGCAAGGCTGAGAATGAAATCAGTTCAGAAACCACTGCATATTCTCTCCCTTGCCTCAAAATCCAGCATCACACCACGCTCATTTTCCACTTCCACTTCTGCTATTGATTCAATTACTGCACCGAAACCAACCAATCAAACTCAAACTCAAAGTCTAACTCAAGAAGAGCACACAAAGATCAACCTCCTCCTCCCACGCCTCTGCCTCTTAAACCACCTCGACACAGCAACCCACCTCACCATCACAGCCCTGCTCACAAACCCACCTCTCAAATCTCTCTCTTTGTCCATTCTTATCCACTCCTTCACTTCCCAATCCGACATGGCCCGACCCATGTCACTTTTAACCCGCCTCAGGCACAACCCACCTTCACATCCCTATCTCACGCCCATCTCAACCATGTTCATTGCCTCATATTTCAAGAAAAATAAACCCAAAGAGGCCCTCAAAATGTTCAACTGGTTGGTAAGGCCAGGCTCTCCATGTGTGCTCGACGAGAGAGTTTGTGAGGTTTTGGTTAATGGGTTCTGTAAGAATGGGATGGTTCTTGAGGCTTTGAAGGTTTTGAGGGCCATGCTGAGTACGAATATCGTGCCGGGATGTGGTCTGAAGAAGTGGGTTTATAAGGTTTTGTTGAGGGAGGCTAGGATTAAGGAGGCAGTGGAGTTGAATGAGGCTTTGGGTTGTGTAGGGGATAGAGAGAAAGGTGATGAATCAGAGTGTGTGAAGAAGGTTTTGGCTTTGTTGGATCACATGATTGGCAATTGGGCAGAATAGAGCAGGTATAGGTTTCTGGACGATTGGTTACAAATGACTTATCTTTTCTTTCAATTAGAGATCCTTTTATGAATACCTTTTACAAATTACTTATCTTTTTTATAAGACGCAGACAATATATCTGTGTCGTATTGAAACTTTTTGTATCAGTTGTCAATTGAAGAACAATTTTTTTTTCTTGACCCTAAGTTTGTAATATTTGCATTGATATGGCCAAAATTTGAACTGAATTTTTTTCATGAACTAAAATAGCCAATAAATAGCATTATCAGCTGATAGGAATGTTCTGCTTTCGTGTGCTTTCAGAAAATGAGATTTTCTGAAACGAATGTCTTAGCAAGCTAGTACTCACCTTAAGTGCTTTCTTGGAGTGTTTCTTTTGTTCAGTCTTCCGTTTGGTAGGATGATGCTATGATAGAACTACATATTCACTTACCAACAGGGAGCCATTTCTGTGTGATTTCAGGTACTGTCTCGAGGTAAACATAATTCCTTTTCATATGTACCGGAGTAGGTATCTTTAGAACAATGTTGATTGTGATGGTATCTACTGTCTCAACTTAATAACTCAAGATGAAGAATTTTCTTTCTTACATGATATGGTACTCAACTACATGTTTGGTTTTGAATTGTAGTGTGGCTTAGAATTAAGTTCTCCTCCTTCAATTGTTCAACAATAGGTATATTGTTCATATTTCCTATATAAAGTTTGATAATCGGCCATAGCCTTCCAGAAAGGATTATATCTTTTCCATCCGGCAAACTAATTTTAAATACCAAACTGTGAACAGTATTTTACCATGCTGTGTGTGTATGCAATCCATCATGTGATCCATTTGTGTTCCGTAATAGTTGCGAAGACTACTAGCTATTGCCTCTGTCAGGATGAATTCAATTCTGATTACTTTCTCTATCTCTAGTGATGCAGGAGCATATGGGTGGATCAAGATAGATATTTACCATTTAATTAGTTATTTCATGATATATTGGTATTTTCTTATTTAGGTAGTTTTAGGATAACTTTTATTATTTAGGTGTGATTTTATAATTAATTAGTTTACTTTTGGACCAAGTAGCCTTGGTGCCCAAGTCTTGTAAAGCCTATAAATAAGGCTAATGTAATAGTTGTAGGGGAGTTTATGTTGATGATTAATGAAATAGTTTATTTGTGGCATGGATTTGCTACGTAATATGTGAGTTTGCACTAGCCCTAGATTTCGGTGCTCGTGTGTGTGGTTGGTGACCTATGTCCGGACTCCGATCCCCATCATCTAGTAGACTTGATACCATTTTGCTTGATGTTTATGTTCCGTAATAGTTGCGAAGACTACTAGCTATTGCCTCTGTCAGGATGAATTCAATTCTGATTACTTTCTCTATCTCTAGTAGACTTGATACCATTTTGCTTGATGTTTTTTTTTTTAGGTCAAACATCTTGCTTGATTTCAATTTTCAAGTAAAGACCACTGTTATTACTGTTAAAGAGAGTAGCTTTCT